GTTCGATTTCGAGCTGTCACAACGTACAACACCTTTCATTATTGCATCACGCTTGGAGTCAGCGACAAGGGCTACTTTGACGCCGGAAGGCGCACTCATGTTTGCGAAATCGCTTGCGAAGGTTGCGATAAATGAAGAAGTGTGATGTAGTTGCTGGACTTACAATTTTTAACTATATGTCCATTTTTTAGACAATTGATGCAAAGTTGCAACTTTTTGGCTTCTTTAAAGCGNTGCGAAATCGCTTGCGAAGGTTGCGGTAAATGAAGAAGTGTGATGTAGTTGCTGGACTTACAATTTTTAACTATATGTCCATTTTTTAGACAATTGATGCAAAGTTGCCTGTTTTTGGCTTCTTTAAAGCGCAAGGAAGGTGAAAGGTTTAGGAAAAGTGATCAAGTGGGGATTGTGTGCTCAGTCGCATTACAAAATACGCAATTATTGATAGGGCTAGTAGTAACNGCGAAATCGCTTGCGAAGGTTGCGATAAATGAAGAAGTGTGATGTAGTTGCTGGACTTACAATTTTTAACTATATGTCCATTTTTTAGACAATTGATGCAAAGTTGCAACTTTTTGGCTTCTTTAAAGCGCAAGGAAGGTGAAAGGTTTAGGAAAAGTGATCAAGTGGGGATTGTCTGCTCAGTCGCATTACAAAATACGCAATTATTGATAGGGCTAGTAGTAACGAACGGTGACAGGTAATAAGATCAACGGAAATAAGGTCAATTGACTTTATTTCGCACCAGGGTGGCATTATAACCTTTTTAAAAACGAAATAAAATCCATTGACATTATTTCTCTTTCAAACATTAAATTTGCTTAGCTTCGCGGCGGCACACCACGTCACGCTACGCCGACGCATTGCACTTTTGTTTTGAAAATGTGGCTTTGTGTTATTGATAAATGTGAATGATTAAAAGGAATAACACCTTTTTTGGCACTTTTATTTTTCTCTTTGGCACATTTTGGCACTTTTTTATCCTCAATATGGCACCTCATAATTAAGGATAGTTGGCAGCCCTGATTGGAAGATTTCTGCTATGTTTTGGGCAACAACTTGTCTGCAGTAAAAAGGTATATAATTTGTGTTTCAAAAGTGTGTGAAAACCAATCAATTAACTTATATGATCTCGGTTCCGATATTAAATAATCAATAATTGTTTATACCCGCATATTCACATTGGCTCGTTGAATGTGCCATCTAATGAATAGTGTCGTCATTCTACTTAGCTGCTTTTAAATGATGTCGACACAAATTGCTGGCGGAGACATGAATACAGTGTAAGAAAAGTCTTTTTCTAGAATTGTTTCCTTATAGAAAGGTTGGTTTCTTTTCCACCTTAGACATTCCGAATTCGTTCAAAATATGCTAATTTAAAACACAGAATAATTTCAGTGTTCCTCCGGGGTTTTGGACATGGACAGTTTCTTCAATTTAATAGTGTTCGCTTTATTTTTGTGGAAACGAAACATGTTTAGTTATGGATCATTTCTACACTCTTTCTTCAAATATTTCTCGTATTTCAGCTGTGCGCAGGCGTTTAGTTTTTCGTATCGTGTTGTTACATATTCGTAATTTAAATTTGTTTAATAAAATCAATTGGTTGTAGTTCATGATTGTGTGTGGATTAATATCACAACACTGAGGATTTGGCAATAACCTTTTTCATCTATTAAAAAACAACACTTACGGGGCAATGTTTATTTTTAGAACAACATTTTTTTCTATGAATCGACATACTTTAAGAATTGTTGACGCTATTTCCATTTGAATGAGGAAATAGCGTCAATGACTTTGTTTCCAAATATTTGTTGACTTTATTTCGCTTTTGAAAAGGTAATAAACTCAATTGACCTTATCACCATTGACCTTATTACCTGTCACCGTAACGAACGATTGGTTACGGTTAATTTTTCTACTAATCACCTGTTTTAAGGAGCCTGCAGGGATGGTAGTAACGCACTCTCCTTTCCAAAAAAGTGTCAACGAGATCCCACGAAGGCAAATTTTGAGTCGGAGCTTCTTCTTCCCATTTCGCTTGGGTGCTAGTATCTGCCTTGTTTATAATTCTTCGTCAGACACATGTTTCGATTGGCACATTCGGTACGCATGAGGCTGGCTAGACCCACATGCAAATTGTATGCATTTATATAGAAATTATGTGCAACTTTTGTGCAGTTAAACTTATTTGTTGTATAATATGTATATTCATTTAATTTTGGAGCTTTCTTTTGAAAATAATTTTTAAGTTTTGAACTTTTCTGTTTTGAGATTTTAGGAGGTATATATCATGAGGATTGTGTAGACTCCCTTGCTTTTAATAGCGATTTTCATACGGCTCTGAATGCTCTCTACTGAGCTTTCTATGATTTTGCTTGAAATATTACCCCATTATAATTTTACTCCCCTCTAAAGCTCTTCCATGTTACTCGGAGCTCGCTTGCGCTATGCTAATCCTCTCTTGACCACAGCGCTCAATTTTTCGATAGCTTTGAGGTCTGGGATTTGTGCTGGCCACCATGTTAGACGTTTTTCTTGGCATGGTGCTTTTGAAGATGTTGATGAGGTCTTTCCCAATAATTCCCTTTTATCGCTTTGGAAACAATTAATTTTCGTTCCATTGGACCATATTACCCTATTTCAGTCCAAAGGCTCCAATTTTCGTGACTTTTACAAAATTTCAGTGGCTTGGGATGTTTTACTTGCTGGCGCTTGGTGCCATTTGTTAATATAAAAGGAATAATGAACACATCCTCCAAACAAATTTGGCGGACTTTGTAGACAAAAGCGCAAACCCTGAGGAAGAAGTTGTTTGCCAGCAGGATGGAGATCCAAATGATTCTGAAAATATTCGACACTTCCGGCTGCTTGAGCTAAATTTTCACGTAATGCAGAGGCCAACACAAATCCCAGACCTCAACACCATCGAAAAATTGAGCGCTGCGGTCAAGAGAGGATTAGCATAGCGCAAGCGAGCTGGAGGCGAGTAAAATTATAATGAGGTAATATTCCAAGCGAAATCATAGAAAACTCAGTTTAGAGCATGCCCAGACGTATGAAAATCGCTATTAAAAGCAATGGATTATCCACAAGAATTTAAGTAAATAAAGATGTTTATAGAAAAGCTTGTGAAAGAGAAAATATTTATTTTTGCACTCACATTTATTTGTTTCCCGAAGAATGCCGATTGCATTCCTTCATACTCGGTAAAAATGCAAATCATCTCCTGCCTAGTGTTGTTCCGATACAAGTAACTACGAGTAAATACTCGACACTTTCTTCAAGTACTGAGTACTTTTTGTACTCCAATCTTTTCCACAAGTACTTAGATGGGTATCGAGTACGCTGTTAGAGTATTTACTTGCTTTTCCAGCTATTCAGAATTTTGGTTGTGAAATAGTGTGCTATAGTATTTTTGGCAAAACGTTCAGACCTTAAGTTACTTAAGTTGTACCCAACCTTAACGTGTATGAAGCAAATAAAATAAGTTGGAGAATCGGACTTTGACAAGGCCTTAATAATTGAAATTGGATACAGAAATGAAGAAACTGTCAAGACAGCGTTCCCGTACTAGTAAAATTTTCACGTTTTGCAAGATTTACGGCCACTCTTTCGGTAGGCTGCTCTTTTGGTAAGTTTCGATCGGAAAGTACTCGAATTGTTTAATTTTTTCTTCTCATGATGTAGCATTGCCGCGGCGTATAAACATGCACAGGCCCTTCAAATTTGCATATATAATATTTTCTGAAATTGTTATATTAGTTCTACGGAATGCTGTAATGAGTTCGATACGAGTAAGTATCGAGTACTTCTCTCCGATACATTTGTAGCATCGATACTTTTCTTCGATATTGTTAAAGAGTACAGGTATCGAGTACATGACAGTATCGGAACAACACTACTCTTGCCATGATAATTCAAAAATTCAAAAGAAATTTTTTTATAAACGGTTGCATTTCTTCATTTTAGGTAAAAATTACATACGAATTTATGTAGGTCCAGCCAGACCTATGTGTTATGAATGTGATGTAGTAATAAACATACCTATATATCTAGCTTTATATGTATGATATTAACATGATTTTTTTACGGATTGGTAATTCACTAAACTTTAGTAAGCTACCTGTAATTTCAAGCCTCTAGCTATATTTAAAGTGCCCTTTATTGTAATTTGAAAATGGAAAAGGCCTGGCTGGACTTATGTGTCAGACGAAGGGATAACTAAATGCGTAAGCAAACCATCTAGCAACTCTTCATTTGTAGCAATAGTTTGTAATGCACGCAGATGACTGCTGATGTTGCCGCTAAGCTCCCGCAAGCAAACGGCCGAACCATCAGGCACCTTCTTCAACCCGAAAATGTCTTTGATGTGAGCCTGAACTCTCTTAATGTCAAGTCGTACCTTTAATAATTTTACCGCCTTTTCGTAGTTTTCCGCACTAATTTCCAACGAGCGGATAGCATCCAATGCGACACCAGATAGGCATGACCTCAAGTGCTGGAACTTCTCGATGTTCGTCAACACCGGTTCTTGATCGACGATGACATGAAACATGGCCCAAAAGTCTGGCCACTCTGTGGTTACTCCGCTAAATCGGGGTAACTGTAAAACCGGCAAGCGCGATTTAATTGGACACGACGACGTGTGCACGCCTATCTCGTCTTTCATAGAATGTTTTCGCGTAGATGTTCTAGCACATGAGATCGACGATATGCTTGCCTTTATGTATACGTATGTCTCCGAAAATTGCATCCTTGCTTCGCTTTCGATTTCCGTTACGTCTTCCCTCTCAAGTTGCGACTGGGTTTCTTCGAATTGCTTTTGAAGCCTGTCGAGTTGCTCTAACTGCACCGCCAAAGTTGATTCATCAAAGTGTTGAAAGTTGTTCGCGTCCGCTTTGACCTTCAGTATGCTCATTTGTTTCAGGAACCATACACTTTTTCTTTTCAAAAACATGTCGCTTGAACTCTCTCCTAGATCGCTTGTATCACGCCGTTTTGGCATTTTGCTTTGCTTCAACTTGGATTCGGTTGCTTCCAAAAGGAAATGCCACGGGGTGTATCCAGCAACAAGTGCACTGCGACCTAATGCGTGCCTTCTTTTGCTTGTAGAAACGAAATGTGCGACGCAATTTTAGCACTAACTATTGTGCTGCTTTCAAACGCGCGTTTGTGCATATACACTTTCCCCTGGCTGAAGGTCAAACGAGATTTCCAAGGAGGGCCGAATATGTAAATTGTTGGACTCGCGCCTTCAAATGCTGAGCATTGAGTAGTTTATAAGCGATGATTAAATGCGATTGAACGACAATTCTTTGATAAGCATCAAACTGAATGCGATAATTTGATGCGGGGTATTCGAACACGTTGTGTTACTATGCGAACAATTACTAATCGATTAGTTAAGCGAGAAACGAGAACGTGAGAGGATCACGTGGGGATCACCAATGTTCGGAGATGGCAGGCGTTTTTGCCACCTATTAATAAAAGCCAAGAAAATGATAAAGCGCGCGGCTATTCTAGCTGACCACTGATCTCGAACTCCTTCTTTATTTTAGGTTTAGCTGAATTTATACTATTACATAGAATTACAATGTACTGTTTTATAACTTAAAACCTGTGCATGTACATACATGTTTTGTTATTGCGAACAAATTTCCGCATATCGGTTCGCTTATCAGCTAGGTAACTAATTATTATAGTACATAAGCGACAATAGAATGTAACAAACAGCTAGGTAACTATAACTTATAGTACATAAGCGACAAAAGAATATGCATGGCAAACCAACTTGAACGGACTGCAGCGAAGGTGATGCAAAGGCAAATCATGATGAGCAAACCTAGACAGGAGGGTTACAGTAAAACCCCACATCTGAACAATCAGTTGTATGGGGGCAATAAACAGGTTATAGTTATCGGGTCTTTGTTAATTTTACTGTAAACTTTCTGTTGATAATGAGTGAAAATAGTGCGAAATTTTATGTTTTTAGCTGCATAAATGGCGGAGTTATAACGAAAGTTCTCATAACTGAACAATCAGTTGTATGGGAGATATATGTTATAGTGACCCGATCTTTGTTATTTTCACCGTAAGTATTCTGTTAATAATGATTGAAAACGGTGCGAATTTTGATGTTTCTCGCTGCATAAATGAAGAAGTTATGGCAAAAAATCTCATATCTGAACAATCAGTTGTATGGTGGATAAAGGTTATACTGACTCGATCTTTGTAATCTGTTGATAATGGGTGGAAGTATTGCAAAATTTCATGTTCTTAGCTGCATAAATCGAGAAGTTATAACGAAAGTTCTCATAACTGAACAATCAGTTGTATGGGAGATATATGTTATAGTGACCCGATCTTTGTTATTTTCACCGTAAGTATTCTGTTAATAATGATTGAAAACGGTGCGAATTTTGATGTTTCTCGCTGCATAAATGAAGAAGTTATGGCAAAAAATCTCATATCTGAACAATCAGTTGTATGGTGGATAAAGGTTATACTGACTCGATCTTTGTAATCTGTTGATAATGGGTGGAAGTATTGCAAAATTTCATGTTCTTAGCTGCATAAATCGAGAAGTTATAACGAAAGTTCTCATAACTGAACAATCAGTTGTATGGGAGGTATATGTTATAGTGACCCGATCTTTGTTATTTTCACCGTAAGTATTCTGTTAATAATGATTGAAAACGGTGCGATTTTTGATGTTTCTCGCTGCATAAATGAAGAAGTTATGGCAAAAAATCTCATATCTGAACAATCAGTTGTATGGTGGATATAGGTTATAGCGACCCGATCTTCGCCATTTTCACTAAAAGTATTCTTTTTATAATGAGTGACAACAGTGCAAAATTTCATGTGCCTAGCTATATATGAACTATCAGTTGTATGAGAGCTATAGGTTATACTGACTCGATCTTTGTAATTTTCAGTTTTCTGTTGATAATGGGTTGAAGTATTGCAAAATTTCATGTTCTTAGCTGCATAAATCGAGAAGTTATAACGAAAAATCTCATATCTGAACAATCAGTTGTATGGGAGCTATTTGTTATTGTGGTCGGATTCTTCCGGTTCCGACAAATGATTAATATATTATAAAAATGCACCCACCTACCAAATTTTATCCGGATATCTCGAAAACTGAGATACTAGGTTGCATACAAACAGGCGGACAGACAGACAGACAGACGGACATAGCTAAAAAACTCAGCTCGCCGTTCTGATCATTTCCCTGTGAGGAAAATCTCTAGTTCTGAACTGGGGCGCTTCTAGTACATTTGGACCCAGTACTGGTTCGCGATAAATCTCTTTTGCATGCAAGCAACTGGCGAATTTAACATGGCGATGTCCTAGGAAGTGTCAATTGCCCCCCGCTGCATCCCTTTTTCGATGGTTCCGAACTAGTCCTAAATTCTATAGTTCCGAACCAGTTCTAAAATCGACAGACGAAAGAAAAAAGTATCATGATTTTTCAATGTTTTCGGTTCTTCCGTGTGCGATTTTACATTATTTTCAAAGAAAGGTTTTTTCAATTTGAAATTAAATTTGATTGATTGATTGTAAGAAATGTACGTTTACATACCTTGCTGTAGCTGACTTTGCAGAGGTGCTCGCTGTTATTGGTTAGATTCCAGATGGCCCCAAGATGTTAATATATTAACACAAAGCTTTGTTTTTTATTACCAAACTATGAAATAGCATCTCCGAAGCACAGAATAGAAGCGTATTTGAACGAAAAAGCCGCCGAACACATATCTATGTAAAGTAAACAAGCCCCCCGCTGCATCCCTTATTCGATAGTTCCGAAATAGTTCTAAATTCGACAAATAGGATCTAGTTCGTTCTGCATCCCTTTTTCTATAGCTCCGAACCATTTCTAAATTCGTCACTTTAGATATAGATTTGTAGTGAAAAAAACTGAAAAATTAGTTTCTTAAAAGTACCACTTTTCGCAGATTTTGGACTGGTGGGGATCTAGTTCCTATCGGACTAGTTCCTTTTTGGCGATAAAGACCTAGTACGGAACTAGAAATTTGATTCACTAGTCCGCGGTTTCCCTGCAGGGTTAAGTATGCATTTTAATTTGTCTATCTCTTCTTATTCTGGTAACTACAAACATCGGAATAAAGATATAATACCATTTCATGCTCATGAAAGGTATAAAAATGTTAATAAGCCACAATAACATTGACAAATACATAGTTTAGGAAGAGCCTGCCTGAAACTATACAAAAAAGCAAATAGGCAAATGGATGTATAGAATTGACAACAACAACCACGCTGTCGAGTTTAAATAGCGGCAAATCAGCTGCACTTGATAGTAGTTGGTTGAATAAGGAAAATGAATTAGCAACAAGAGTTTACGGGATGTACATAGCTCAGTGGTTAACGCTTCTGACTTTGAACATCGAATTCGCAGGTTCGATCCCTGCTGAAGTCTAGAAAAAAAAAGTCTGATGAGGAGATGTGGTGATCTCCGAAATAGTGCTATAACTTCTACCGCTTAGACTTTGTTGCTTTTTCAATTTTTCCTAATAAACAATCGTGGTACAAAGCTCAATAAAAATATTAAAAATAAAATGTTAACAAGCCACAATAACATTGACAAATACATAGTTTAGGAAGAGCCTGCCTGAAACTATACAAAAAAGCAAATAAGCAAATGGATGTATAGAATTGACAACAACAACCACGCTGTGAGTTTAAATAGCGGCAAATAAGCTGCACTTGATAGTAGTTGGTTGGATAAGGAAAATGAATTAGCAACAAGAGTTTACGGGATGTACATAGCTCAGTGGTTAACGCTTCTGACTTTGAACATCGAATACGCAGGTCCGATCCCTGCTGAAGTCTAGGGAAAAAAGAAGTCTGATGAGGAGATGTGGTGATCTCCGAAATAGCTGCTATAACTTCTACCGCTTAGACTTTGTTGCTTTTTCAATTTTTCCTAATAAACAATCGTGGTACAAAGCTCAATAGAAATATTAAAAATAAAAATGTTATTAAGCCAGAATAACATTGACAAATTAGCTAACTTATATTTCAAGTTTTCGAGTTTATCCCACTGTAAGTATGAAATCAGTTGCTATGTGTTTCCATGATACAAAAAACCACCTGACAATTAAGCGTATTGTAAAATNGAAATATTAAAAATAAAAATGTTATTAAGCCAGAATAACATTGACAAATTAGCTAACTTATATTTGAAGTTTTCGAGTTTATCCCACTGTAAGTATGAAATCAGTTGCTATGTGTTTCCATGATACAAAAAACCACCTGACAATTAAGCGTATTGTAAAATTTCATGCTACCATACGCAGTATCTAAAATCCCTAAAATTGTTATTTAATATTTCGTTTGATTAAAAACATTTTATTCTTAGAATCGGAATTTTACCAAGCAAAATGTCTTTTGTTATTAAATAAATGAGGCTAATGCTCAATATGTTGATAATTGTTGTTCTCATTTGCATACTTCACACCAACTCCAATATTGAATAGTGAAATATATTTTAATTTTACCCAAATAAACCACGATATAGTTTAATGGTCAAGCACATATGGAGGATTCACAAGAGGAGTTAAGTGTCGTAGTGTGCTAAAGTCTTAAAATTTTTAAACGTAAAATAACATCTAATACTTCTTTAGGCGTTTTTTAACATAACCAAAATGTTTTTAAACTTTTAGGAAATATATTATTGGCTCTTATTATACCCAACGAATCTTTCAAATCGCTTTTAACAGTTACTTTATATTGAACAAATTTAAGCCTTTAAGACATTACGACGTCTATCACGAATTGTGAATCCCCTAAATATGCATTAAATTACACATCAAAATTTGTAATTTCAGTGTTCGAATTATATCAGAAACAATCGCACCCGATATAGAAAACTGTAATAATCCTGGCTAGTTACATTGTGAAATAATCCGATGGCAAAAAGACACTAAATATTTTCAAAATATGTTCACTAAAATTTTATTAACCTAAATGTAAAGT